CTGACTGACTCACCAGAAGACAAAAGCACACCAATAGCCGTTATCTAATCTTTGAACCCTTTCTTGCAAGTAATGGATGCACTTGAACTAGCTTGAGAAAGGACAGGTGGAGGTGGGGAATGTATATAAAGATATACAGGGTGTGCCTCAGAACTCAACGGCAGGAATGCAGCTGGGTTTCCTGCATGACTGCCATTAGGATGTTGCTAAGGTGCCCTCTCAGATTCCTTTCTTTCTTTCTGGAGCTAGATGGTTCCTTGATGCTAGATCTCCCTGCCCATCTGCTTCTTTCTTCTCTTTCTTCACTTGTCTGTTCAGTGGAAGAAAAGTCTCTCAGCTCCTGGGGTTATGTGTCCCGCTCTTCCAGCCGCACCCTGAGAATAACTAGCTGTTGCTTAGCTGCCAAACTTCAGAGGAGAATCTGATTGGTTCAAATGGAGCCAGCTGTCACCCTTGATCTAATTTATAATTGCCAAGGATTATCTATAACAAACAAGGTTGCCAGGCACCCCTCTCATGGGTGAGCAATTCACTGTGAATGAGGTCACTGAGAAATGGACAAATATTCCAGTAGGTTTCTACTAAAACAATGTAGTTCAAAATGGTCCCCAATGTTATGGAAGATTGGGTAGGGGAAAAACAGCATGGAGCATAAAATCCACCTTAGCGAATCAGAAGCCACAGGGTTTCAGTAGCTTTTGAGAGTTGTCCCTTTAATGGCATTAAAAACGTACAGACAAACCTTCCTTTGGATAGGACCTTATTCAAAAGGAACTACATAGTTATCTGAAGACAAGAGGACACATGCTCCTTCCGTTGCCTGGAACTCGCTTCTCCTTCTATACTAGCCAATTCCCTAATTCCCACCAATCTTTCTGATCCCTGTTTTACACATTCCCCAGGTGAAGAATTTGTTTGGGCAGACCTGAGGATGGGGAGGGCCCTGCACCTAAAAGAAGGTGTTGGGTCTGTTGGTGGAGAAGTGTGGCTTATTGTGGTGACACAGGACTCAGTGGAGGCAGTGGTAACTTGATCTTGGAGTTGTGGAATTGCTTGGCCGCTAGTGGGTGTCACTTTGCTGGCAGTGATCTCCACCTTCATGATCTGAATTGAGAGGGCCTGGGCACTCATGTTACAGGAGCAGAGGGGGACAGCACCTGCTGTGGTCATGTCTGGGTACTCCTGGTACATTTGCAAACTATTTTACCAAAATTCAGGTGGAGAATATGTTTCATGCACAATCTCAGGTATGCAAAATATGAGCACTTAGTTTTCTATAAATAAACTTTGTTCTGTTATGAGCCCCCATTCTGAGTTGAGTGGTAGCCATTTAATCTTAGCCAATTAGGGATTTTCCACTTGCCCAGCATTGCATCAAAGTTCTGTGGCAGGGAGGGGAAAGTAGAATGCCTGGTTTCTACTTGCTGGCATCTACAAGGAAATCCTCATTCTCACCTGGTCTTTACTTGTTAATCCACACAGGTGATAACAGAGTCGTCCCTCCTTAGGTCTGGGGCTCTCTCCGCTCACTGGGTGCCTTCTCAGGTGCATGGGCCCCGTGTTCCATATCATGCCAGGCTCACTCGAAGCCCATGGGATGGTTGCTGCCCTTCACTGAGCCTGGGTTGTATTCAGAGGAATCATCTACTGTCCCCACACTTTGCTGGGTGTAGGCAACTCCAGTGAAGATCACTCGGGCCCATTTGCCTAGGCCACCACAGGCTTTTCTAGTCTGAGATCTTGTCTCCAGTTACCCCCCTCTCCCATCTCAGAACTTCAAACCAATTTAGAGTTCCTGCTTTTTGCCCCTCCTGGGTTCTACCGGAGTGAGGCAGCTTACTCTTAGAAGTACACACCTATCTGGGATTTCTGTTCTTCCCTTTCTTCATGCCCAGGCATCCTGGGAGAGAAGCAAGGTGAAATATCCCTCTCTTAGAATCAAGTAGGACCAATCTACTCACTAGCCAAGGCCAGAGAAACTTTATCTAGTCTGGGGGATGGCAGGTAGAGGAGGAGGTGGGCAAGGAGAAGGGAGAGACCAGGAATAAACAAGAAACAAAGGCAGGAATGAACAAAATGAAGTTTTAAATGCCCTTCTATGCCTTTCTTGATCCATTGCAAAATTCTAGAAGGTCCATTTAATGAATCTTTTACCCACTTGGGAGAGCAGTGGTCCTGTGATTCGGCAAGAGTCAATGTTATCCTTTTTTGGGTAATTTACAAAGCTAGAAAATCAAGGCAAAGCTGGAGAGAGTTTTACCAGAGTTCAGCAAGGCAGGTGGGAAAGGAGTCGTCACTGGGAGTTGGCACGAATCCTTAGTGTTGTTAGGCAGTTTTACATACATGATTTCATTTTATCCTAAAAATAACCCAATGAGTGAAAGAATTAAATATACACTGAATGTCAATTGCAGCCACTGTATAGTTGAAGAAAACTAAATTGCAGATAGATATTACAATTTCTCTAAGTTACATGGCTGCTTGATTCATTTATGTTGTGTCATATATGACTCCATAACTTAGTGGCTTAAAACAACAAGTATTTTATTTATTTGCAGTGTAGACAGGGCCCACTGGGGAAAACTTATCAACTGGGGCTGGAGCATACAGTGCCAAGATGGTTCACTCTCATGGCTGGCAAGTCTGCTGGCTTTCAGAACGGAGCCTCAGTTCTTGCTGTCAGTTGAGGTGATGATTAATTTTGTATGTCAGCAGGACTGGGCTAAGTAATGCCTAGGTAACGGTAAAACATTATTCCTGGATATGTCTGTGGAGGTGTTTCTGGAAGAGATTAGCATTTGAATCAGTAGACTGAGTAAAAAAAGATCACTCTCACCAACGTGGGTGGGCATCAGCCAATCCATTGAAAATGTGAATAGAACAAAAAGGCAAAGGAAGAGCGAATTCGCTCTCTCTGCTTGAGCTGGGACATGCATCTTCTCCTGCCCGGGGGTATCAGTACTCCTAGTTCTTGGGCCTTCAGACTCAGTCTGGGACTTACACCATTGGCTCCCCTAGTTCTCAAGCCTTCAGGTTTGGACTGGAACTAGACCACCAGCCGTCCTGGGCTTCCAGCCTCCAGATGACAGATCATAGGACTTCTCAGCTCCCTTAATTATATAAGCCAATCCCTCATAATAAATCTCTGTCTCTATATTTCTATATATCCCATTGGTTCTGTTTCTCTGGAGAACCCTGGATAAATACAGCTGGGTTTCTTGGTTCTCTTCCACATGGCTCTTTCTCATGGTTAGCTTGGTTTTTCTCACAGCATAATGGTCTCAGGGTAGTTGGACTTCTTATACAGCAGTTGGTTTCCAAGAGTGCAATAGCTAAAATCTTAAGGCTTAGACCTAGAACTTGCACAATGTCATTTTCACTATAGTTTATTGGTTAAAGTATGGCAGAGGTCCAGTCCAGATTCAAGGAGAGAAACTACAAAAGGTATGAATACTGGAAGGTACAGTTCATGGAGGTTACTGAAAAAGATAGTCTAACCACATTGAGCCTGGAATTTTATTGATTCACATTACTGATGGGTCAAAGAAGTATAGCTGACTTAGGCATGTCAGTAGCAAGGCACTCAAGTAAGATCAACAGGAATATACTTCTATTTGCCTCTCATTGCTGCCTCCTTTGTGTTGACACAATGCTCAGGCAGACTCGTTGCTGATGGTGGCAAGATAGCCACAGTATTTCTGACTTTCAAGGAGCAGTGTAGAATTGTTTATCCATCTATCTATGTACCTACTCTGTGACTGAGAGGATAGAATATGCTAATTGGCTAGTCTGGATCGTGTGCTCACCTATCATATGCACACACTATTGATTACCTACCCAATAGTGTTTTCCAACTCTCTTCTCCATTGACTGAGAGTCTGAAAAGGCCAAATAGAGTAGATCCTCACTTCACATTGTTGATAGGTTCTTGGACACTGGGACTTTCAGCAAAACAAATATAACCAAAACGACTTTACCACAGGCTAATAAACAAGAGTTACATGAATGTAAATAAAACAAATGGAAAAATTCTACCCCTGGTAAACTTATTTCTAGTAGAACAGAAACAGAAAATAAACTATTGTGAACACTTATATTTAAAAATATAAAGCTATAATGGATAATTATACATAACATATATATAAATAAATATAATAAATATCTAAAGCATATCGTACGTATGTTAAACAGTGCTAAGTGTTGTGGAAAACAGAGCAGGGATTGGATTGGGGGAGTGTGACAAGTGCTCAATAAACATGTACTAATTGATCTTTTTCCCTCAGATATTTCTTTATGTTACCAACTTTCCACATTTATTTAAGTTTAACCTTTTTCATAACACCGGTAGAAATTGTTCATTTTCAAATATTTCCAATATTCATTTAAAAATTATATTTAAAGTGATGATTAATCATTTCTTTGACATTTTATTAAATGTATTCTTAAGGATAGCCCTAAAATTCTGAAGAGCAGGGGTTGCAAACATGAATACTCTGGCCCAGGCTATAAGAAAAGAAGGAGTGAGGAGCCTTATTTTGCTGCCAGGCAGGATTCCAGGCCCAGTGTTGCCAAACTTTTCTAGAAGCAGAAGTCAGATTTAATAATCTGCCAACTAATCACATTTTAAAATACATTGTACAGGCCAAACAAAACAACTCTCCTTGGAATCTGGCCTACAGGCTTCCTATGTGTAACTTTGGGCCTTGGATAACATTGCCCCGCCTCACTACTTTTACACTGATCTTTCCTGCTTTTTTGGAACACTTCCCTTAATCCAAAGGCTAGATTTCATCAATATTATTATGCATGAATCTGACATTAACTATTAGTAATTCATGTGTGGACATGCTGGCTATAAGAACTTAACCAACAATGTGTTTTCCAACACTTTTCATATTCCTCAGCCCAAGTTTACTTTTCATGGAATTTGAGAGCCAGAAGGGTGCTTGCAGGGGTGGGGCTGGGGATTGGAGGTGGTGGTTGCGGTTGGGGGTGTCCTCTCTTTCAGCCCTTCACCGTTCTTTGGCATCCCTGTAGATGGTCATTCAGGCTCACCATGAGCATTGCCACAGATAGGCAGCTTGCTGCCCACCAACAGTGGGTCCACACATCATCACTGGTCTCTGTGTAACATTTGCAACTCAAATGCAGCAATCTTGAGCTCGCTCTCCTGAACAGCACAAAGTAAGTCTACTCTCAGTCAAATCATAAAGACAAAAAATAGAATGGTGGTTGCCAGGGGCTGGAGGGAGGGAGGAATGAGTTAGTGTTTAATTAGTACAGAGTTTCAGTTGGGAAGATGAAAAAGCTCTCGAGATGGATGGTGGTGATGATGGTACAACAGTGTGAATGTACTTAATGACACGGAACTGTGCGGTTAAAATAGTTAACATGGTAAATTTTATGTTATGTATATTTTACCGCAATAAAAACAAATGGGTTTTATGAATGAGGAAAATAGGCTCCTATCCATGTGATGCTATTTCAGAAGATTAGTAACATTTATTTTATCTAAGACCTGCCCTAATACTCATAAAATAAAATAGCCTAATTCCTCTTTTTGATGCCATGATGATCTGCAAATGAGTGACAAGTAATGGGATACGAGACCTAGGAAAAGAGGTTTGTAGTGGTGCTATGTTCAGATGCAAGTCAGGAAAACAGGAGGAGAAGCATGACTAGAGGAAAGAGAAAAAAGGATAGAAGTGAAATAGCTACGAATGGGAGATGCTAGGGGAATTTAACCCAGACACAGGAATAAAGAGGCTTATAAGAGTTACAGTGGGGCAAGCTTCTTAGGAGCAAAGGATGCAAAGGAAAAAGATGAAGAAGCTGGACTTGTTAGAAAGACCTGACCAAGGACTGGGACTCAGATTAAGCAGGACAGCCTTGGAGAACTCCAAGCTGCAACCGTGCAAATCAAACTCGACCAACTAAACCATGTTAGGCTAGACTAGTGAAGGAAGCTATGTAACTATAATTTTCTCCTACATGCCTTATGGAACCAAGAGTTCCTACTTCTATAGCAGATTTGCTGTGCATATACTAATGGAGCATGTCATTATGAGAACCTGGGGTATCAGAAAGATGCATGGGGCAAGGCTGTAGGTTGAAATCTCAATAGAATAAGACCCTTTAAGAGAGTATACACAGAGGGAAATTATAGGGCACTATGTAAACGTAAGGTGTTTGTAAGAGTTCTGGCAGAAAACAGTATATTAATCTGTCATGTCAGGGTTAAGAGAATCCACAAAGAATTTTCAAGAGTAGAAGGCCATTATTAGCCCTGTGCCTGAAGGGGTAAGGGAAGGAATGATGCTAGTGGATACTAGTAGGAGATGGGCTGCCTGGCAGACTGTGGCCATCAGTTAGAGGAGCAGACCGTCTGCTAAAGCCAGAGCTTGGTAGAAAGGGAGCTGGGGCAGCAAATACCCTGACGATGCTCTCTTCTCATCCTCCAGGACCGTTGTCTGAACCCAATGATAAGCCTGATGGCATGCAGGCCCGTCTACTGCAGTTCATAGAGAAAGAATTCCAGGACCCACATCAGGATTGGGAAGAGTGGATCCAGCAGGGCAAATGGAGACCATCCAGCACAATATTACTGCACCATTAGGTATTTAAGACACCAAAAGCCAGGCTACCTGCATTTGATGGCAGGCACCACCACTACCTAGTAGGAATATGACCTTTTCAAGTGATTTTTCCTCCCTAAGATGTGGCAGATACAGGTTGCTGGCTGGTCCAATGGTCATTCCCGGAGACGTAAGAAACTTCCAAACCTGTAAGGAATTTTTATAAAAGGTTATTTGAGCCAAACTGGTAACAATTGCCGGGAAGCAAGATCTCAAAAGCTCTGGGGAATGACAGTTTTGCAGTTTCTTTTATGCATTTAAAATTAAGGAAAGTAAAGAGGGAAGACTACATGAAGGTGGGAGAAAGCAAAGTGGGGATTGGATTACAGGGTAGTTAACAAGATTATAATGCTCCCTTGAGGGTCTGAAAAAGAGGATCACGCAGGCATTTCAAAGGTGTGTTAACCTAGATGCACCAGAACAATGGACAGGGCCTGCTTAAGACAAAGATGAACGCTTTACTGATAAAATAATATGCCTGGGACTTGACTACCTGCCATGACCAGCCCAGGTAGGAATTTATGATCAGGTCACCCTGTGAGGTTACTTTCTGTCACTGGACTTGTCAGTTTTATTATAGAACCCCTTTTTTGACCACATTCCCAATTCCCTTCTCCCTTGCTGCCTTCTAGTGTAGCATATAGAAAAGTTAAATACCCCTTTTTCCATGCTCCTTTCAGGCCAGGAGTGGCCAAGTGACGTTGTTTTGGCCAATGAGACAAAAGTAGAAGTTAAGGGGAGAGTTTCTGGGTATGTTTTTGCTTTCTGAAAGAAGGGCAGGTGAAGCCAGTGGCCTCAGCTTCCTCCCCTTCTTGCTGAACAGACATGATGCCTGCAGCTGGGACAATCATCTTGTGACCATGAGGGAAAGACCTAAATACTCTCCAAGACACTGGCCCTGGCATCATTGGGCAATACCAGCAGTTACTTGTCTTTGAACTTCTTGGAGAGAGAGTGAGAGAGAATGAAATTTAAGCTTAGTCAGGTTTTCTGCTATTTGAAGCTGAAAGCATCTCCAACTCATATACTAAGCTTGTTTCCTAATTTTAAAAAATAGCATTTATTTCAGAGCATTATTGTAAAGATAAAGTAAGGGAACAATAACTAACATATGTATAGTATTTAGAATATACCAGGTGTTTTTTGGAGCACTTTACATATGTAAGCTCTTTAAAACTCCACAAAACTCTATGTGGTAGGCATTATTGTTATCTCCACTTTAATGATAAGGAAAGACAGATTAAGTCATTTGAGCAAAGTCACTTAACATGTAAATGGCAGAGCCAGTATTGGAACCAAGGCAGCCAGACTCCAGGGTCTGTCCACTTATAAAGCACTCAGCATGGTAGCGCAGAATAAGCATCCAAAACATGTCAGTAATAATAATGTAGATGATCAGGTGCCACAGGAATGCCCAGAAAAGGATGCAGGGGCACTTCTGTTTGGTCGCTTGGAGGGTGGCTCTTTTCCAAAGTCTACTTTGAAAATGAAACTGTGCACCTATAGTAAAATTTCTTAGCCCATCAAGTGATAATCTCAAGAACAGGGAGGACTCATGGGCAAGTCAGGAGTTCTGAAGTCAACTAACTGATGACACTCCAGTAGTTACCCCATGATTCTTTTTCTTAGTTCTTTTCTAACTTATGGGTCTCCATTTCCCAATGGCTCCACTCCCACTCCCTGGAGCCAGGGTTCCCCAAGACCTAGGAACATTTCTTTTTTCTTACTGAAAACATAGCAAGCATTTCATATCAAATATGGCCAGTAGGTGTCAGCATCTATCACAAAATGGTTGATTGCTTCTGCCATCTTTACATTTAAACTCAAAGATTCAAATTATGTAAAACAAATTAGTTTTTTATGTTATTAATGCTTAGAAAGCTATAATCCCATATACAAACTTCTATTTTGCTGAATATATATGTACAGAAATTATATTTTAAACTTTTTAAAATGTAGGAAAAAGTTTGAGGATGGAAGCTGCCTGCTTGATAAAAAGATAAAGGAAAACAGTTTTCATTTAAAATCATTTATTCATTGGGCCTGCCGAGTGGCGCGATGGTTAAGAAGTGGCTTGGGACGCCAGAGGGCCCTGGTTCGGATCCCACATGTGAGGGCCAGTGACACTGCCATCTACAGCTAAGATGCTGAACAACAGCTCAACCTGGAGCTGGGCTGCTGTGAGTCGCCAGCAAAGGCGTAGGCTGCAGCCCCTGCTGCAGTGGGTTGCCATGGGCTACCATGTGGAGCCAGCAGCCGCAGTGAGCGGCCATCCAGAAGCCGGCGACTGATCTGCCTCTCCCGGGAAGAGCGCAATGATGGTGCCAACTTGGGCCAGTGAAACAACGTCCTCCACAACTAGACTGAAGAACAAAAGGACAGCAACTTGTCTGTTCCCCTTCCCCCAATTCCCCAGCATTGTTCCCATCCCCCCAATTCCCCAATAAAAATCTTAAAATAAAATAAAATAAAAAAATCATTTATTCATTGATCCATCAGTCATTTGCTGATCACTTTACTCTGTGTAATCTAGCAGTAAGAAGCAGCCAGGCGTCTTTAGGATAAGATCCTGGATGCTGTAGGATACTGAAGTTTTAAATGATGTAGTTTGGCTACTGGTGCCCTTTTAGGTAAATGTTTACCATCATTCTGGGTTCCCCCAACCCCAATCTATAAATATTCTGTACAACAAATGTACCCCTATTTGAAGAAAATAGAGCATGTAAAAATCTGGATGTACTCAATAGCTCAGTGTCATTCCACTAATATCCATGAAACACCTATTTTCTGTTCTTTAATGACATTTTGGAAGTTCCCAAAGCTTCCTCATCACACTCAGGTCTTAAAAAGTCTAGCCTAGTCCAGTCCAATGAGAAGCTTCAATTTCACATCCAATTCAATGCTCTGTTCCTCCTCTCCTATGACCACAGGGCCTGCACTGGGGGAGGGGATACAGTCTACTCTCACTCCTTGCCACTCTACTTCTGCACCCATTAGGAATGGAGAAAGTAGAGGAGGGAATAAAAAGGAACAACAAAAACTTCTGTAGGGAAAGAAGCCCTGCAGGGCCTCTGTACTGCACAGATGCTGCCCATCTCATTCACCAAAACTTAGCTCATCTAAGTGCAAGGAAGGATGGGAAATGTAGTCTCTATTCTGAATGAGCATGCACCCAAGGTGAAATAACTTCTTCAGGCATAACCTTTTCTGATCACCACCCTCAGCCTCTCCTGGGCTGGGGTCCTCTCCCCAGCAGGCAGCTGCCTACCCAGGGTACCAGTGAGAAGGCTCAAGCTCTGCTAATTTTTGTGGAATCAATTGCATCACAAGAAATGCAAGTATCCTTGCTTAGGAAGCCTTAGCACCCCTCACCTACAGTAATTAAACTACTCTGGGAATAATTTCTACTCTGACTTAGGCTGTAGGGCTTGATGACTTAATGGTAGCAGGACCTGTTGGGTTCCTCTTAGTCCTATGGATGTACTTAGCACCTGTGTTCCTCAACTTTTAAAGCTTTATTGACAATCCCAAGAAAACAGGGAAAGTTCCATTCAATATCCTGTGACCTAAGGTCCTCTATGTAATGATTAGATGTGGAAATAAATGAAGGCCAACCAAATGAGAAAAGCAAAGTCTATTCAGAGGTTGCTATAGTCATGAAGTCAGCTATTGTCACTTGTGTTTTCGCAGCGACTCAAAGGCAGTCAGAGGAGTGGGAAAGCTTTTTAGTGGGGAAAAAAGGAAGGCTTCAGGTGCCCTAGTTGAAGGCTGTTGCTATGAGAAAGCTGCAGGCTGGCTATCTAGAAGCAGACATCCTATGTGATTGGGGAGGGATGCATATCTGGTTTGCTCTAAATGGTCCTAAATAGGAAATGGCGATAAAAATTAAGGAAGCTTTAGTTATTAATCAAGTCCTGGTCATTTGGGGCTGACTGTTGCAGAGGTTATTGTTTAGCTTCCTGGATTGTCACTAGACATAGCAAACTGGTTTCTTGCAAGTCTGAGTTATCGCAGGCTGACATCTTAGGCTATTTATTATAGACAAGGGGTTGATTTCCTAGACAGGTTGCTGCAGGTTGTGGGTCAGAGTTCTATGTTTATATATGTTCTGGCCATTGTCTATTTGTATATTCAGTCTTTCAGTAGCAAGCAGTAAATGGCTTTGCTTTATCAACTATGATAGTACCTCACATTTATATCATGTTTTCCAAGTTAGAACGTGTATTTATGTGTATCTCCAAGACTAATGAACGGGTTCAAAACGAGTCTTCCCAGAAGGTTTCACTTCGGCATGCCAATTATTCTGAGCTAAAGACAACTGAGCCTCAGAAGACTCAGGAAGAGTTTTACCTCCCCCTTAACCGCCTAAAAGCATTTTGACAGAGGGCTTGGTCCAGGAAGAGAACTAGCACCAAAGCTAACTAGGAAGAATATGAACTAGATGTAGTGGACTTGGGGAACATAGCAAGGCCTGCTTGCTCGAAGTCCACTCTGTGTCCCATTGTCTCTGCATGGTGTGGTAAACATTTGTTTACCAGACATTTGTTCTTCCATCTTTCTGTAAATTATCTTTCTCCTCTTTGAAGTCCCAGACCTCTACCCCTTCTGGAATGGCAAAGAACAGCAATATAAGCCTCAACTGAAACTCAACAGGACATATCAGCCTTAATTGCCTGGCTGCCTGTGGGTCCTATTTTCATGGGGCCCCGTATAGACATAATTACATTTTATTTTCTCCTGTTAATCTGTCTCCTGTCAGTTTAATTATGAGACTGGCCAGAAGAACCTGGAAGGGTACAGGAAAACTCTTTTCTCCCTGACACTAAAGTATAAAAATCCTGCATGTGTTTTCTTCATTGTGAAGCTGACCGCTAGGCTCAGAAAGGTCAGGCGACTTTCCAGTCACAAAGCTACTAAGGAGCCAAGTAGGGTGGTCACCGTGCATCTTGATTTTCCTAAGTTTGTCCCAGTTTGTCCTGGT